TAGTGAGTACTCACCCACCCGGGTTTCGGACCCAGGACCTCTTAGTTTCAGGACAAGTTCATACATGATTCAGTCATTGGGACCGACTCACTGGCCAGTCCATGAATTCTAACTTCTACCAGTTTGTGATTTTAGGGAGACCACCAACCAATGTCATCGGCGGGATATCCTTCCTCATACTTGACTGGATGGACCTCACTGGTCATGACTTCTCACTAGAACTCCAGTCAACTTTGTCCTTTGAAGGATTAGGTATTTACAAAAAACAAAACAATTGAGCAAAGAATATCATTAGTATTATTATTTTCTTTAATTCCTAGAGGGCTTCAGCCGTGCGTATCCATTGCGTTCTCTTCTCTGCTAGAGTCTTTACCTGGCTCCAAGTCTGTCCTCACATTTTCATCCCCTCTTCACATGACGTCCTCCAAGTCACCCTTGCACTGACGACCAACTCGCCGCTTCCCTTTCGGCCGGGTTCCACTCGAGCAATGGCTTGTCTAGTGATGTCCCTTGATGGTTTCCTCAGAGCATGGCCAATCCATCTCCATTTCTTCCTGCCTATTTGTTTCACAATCGGTTCCTGTTGTGTCGGTTCGCTCCCAGAGATCCCTGTTGCTGATCTTTTCTGGCCGGCCATCTGATCTTGAGTATAGAGCGAAGACAGCTAGCTGTTAATGAAGGTCTGTAGTTTGTTTGAGGTGCTCTTTATGACGCGCAGTGCAAGTCTCTGATCGGTATAGTAGCACTGACTTTTCCTTTTCGATAATTTCATCTTCTGACTTTGCAATTATTTGTATGTATTTATATACACAGAATATTCTAGAATAATTGTCATTAAAGATATTGGTGTTTTTAAATAAAAAATTGATAGCATCTAAAAGTAGCAGTCTTGTGGAGCAGGAAGAGGAAATTACCGAAAAGGATATTCTTTGCTCAATTGTTTTGCTTTTTCTAAATGTCTAAATGAATATTTTCGTTATGTTGAAACCATCTGAGCAACATTTTTCTGATTCGTTTACCTTCCTGTTGGAAAATAGGGTCTCACGCTTTGAAACTTCAATTGTTATAGTATTATTTACTCTGTGTTGAATTGCTAGCACTATGCCCAACCTCGCCTAATAACAGAGCCTGATACGGGCTTACCGATGTTTAGGAGTGCTTTCAGAAGGGACTAAAACCCGGACTACGTGTGTGGTTGGTGACCACTCTACCACTGAGCCACTGATGACCCTATCTATAAGTCAAGATGCGGGATATTGAGCCTGAGACATCTGGCATGAGAAGTGAGCACTCTGCCACTCAGCTACATCCTCACTTGCTAGCCGTGTCGAAGTTTCAATTGACTTACCTCTCTGACATCAGTCAGTCCACGTAGAACCGATAGTAAGCTCAACCTTAGACGAGTCAATTAGCCACTGGACATTTCGAGTAGCCTGACTAGGCGGCTAGCCCAACCGACTGATGTGACTGGTAATCAGATATTTAAGCCAGTCAGTGTCATTTTGTCTGCTACTGATTATGTCAAGCATGACATGTGCATATTCATAATATACATTATTATTCCCTTGGGTTCCATGTGGAAAATAGGGCTTCAGCGACACATCTCCACTTTCTTTTATTTTCCGCCAACCACTTCAGATGCGTCCACGATTGACCATAATCTCTCATAACCTACTTGCACTAACTCTTCCATGTCACCCTAGGACGACCCACTCTACGTTTTCCATTGGTGTTCCACCAGACACTCTGGAGCGCCATGTCATTTGACGGCCTCCTCAACGTATGCCCGATCAATCCATCTCCATTTTCTCCCATATATTTGCTGAGCAATCGGCTGTCACCTGTTGGATTTTCACCAGCCACAGTTTCTTGTTGCTAATTCCCTCTGGCCATTCGATCTTCAGTAGGGAGTCACTGGAGGAAGGTGTTGATAAAAGTCTGCATTAGCCTGTTGGATTCGCTGTTCGTGACGCGCTAGTCATATTTCTGACACACAAAGAAGCAGCGACTGACTTAACATTTGAAAAGAGAGTCGGAACTCAGCTCGTTCTGCCGAATGCTTCAGATTTTCAAACTGACTTCACAATGATCGACGTCTACCTTGCCTTTGCGATTCTGATCAGCTTTGACATCTTAATCCGTTCCGACTTCCTGTGGTTGAAACCATGTTTCCTAGCCAGATAAGTGAAGCCATGAAGTAACCTCTTTCAAATCTCTATCGTTGACATTGATTGGTGCAGGTTGTTTTTGCTGCAGATACTGGTTGGTTACCTTCATCACCTCCATCTTCTCAATGTTCATCTGGAATCCTATCTCCGCTGCCTGAGTCTCTTCAACAAGTTTGTTGATTTGGGACTGCAAATCTTTAAGTTTGTGTCATATTAGACACATACCATCTGCGAGATCCAGATCTTCTAGGGCGTTCTTATCGGTTCAACGTATTTCTGTCTCCTAACTCCTCAAGCACAGTCTGACGCATAATCCAGTCCACCACAATTATGAATATCACAGGTGTTAATAGGCACTTAGCTTCCCTTACTCCTGTATTCAATTTGGACGTCTCGTTGATTGAGTTTTCCGTTGTAGATCACCTGACACCTGGCATTGTCATACAGTTAGATGTTGAATAATGCTGATAAAGGCTTGAACACTGCTCGCCATCTCTTTGAAGCAGTTTCCAAATTACTTATCGGTTAGCGCTGTCAAAGGTCTTTTCGAAGTCGAGGAAGTTAAGGAAGAGTTTTGACTACCATTCTATGCTTTGTTCTGTGATGACGATGCGTCGAGTTGCTACTTGATAACCACGTTATTTGCCTTCTCTGAATCCAGATTGTTCCGGTTGATGGAGTTCTGCGTCCAGTCCATCTTCTATACTCTCCAAGATGATGTGACTTAGTATTTCATTTGGCGTGGAAATGAGTATTATTCCACGCCTGTTCTTGCAGAGGTGTAGGTCGCCCTTCTTTGACGGCTTGACAAGGTAGCCAGCCTTTTCTCCAATCGGTAAGCACCTTTCTTCCTTTCAAACCCTTTGTAATAATGGTGTGAGGATATCTGTTGCAGTCTCTAAGTCCGTTTTCAGCGCTTCGGGGGGGGGGGGGGGAATTCCATAGGATGAGGCTGCCTTCCCAGCTTTTAGTAGCTTGATCGCATTCAGAATTGCCGTTTTCATTGGAGGATTGGTGTTCTTGGATAGGCGGTTCTGTGCGTGATGTTGGTAGTATTTCTGGACGAGTTGCAGGTGATGGTTGATGCAAGAGTCCTTTGAAGTGATCAGCATATTGTTTTATTTGTCTCTTCTCCTTGGCAATCAGGTTCCCGTGAGCATCTTTTATAGATTTAATCATCTGGTTTGATCTCTTCCCGGATGGAGACCTGGTTATCTCATATAATGTTCTAAGTTTTCACCTTCAACAGCGGTCTGTTCTGCTTCAGTCGCCAGTCAGTGTGCCATAGAATTGTCATTTTTCTTTCCTAGAACTCTTCTTCACTTCACTCTTTATTTAATTTAGTGTATGTTAGACTCAGCTTCTCCTTCTGTAGTCCATCGTAGCACTGAGGCATCTTTTCTTTCACCATCCTCTTCTCCTTGACTAGCTTCCATGTAGGCGTTGAGAGCCCCTTCAGTGTAGTGTCTCTTCCTTCTTCCTAGAACAGTTGTACACGTGTCCTAGAACATCACCTTCAGAGAGTTCCAGTGTTCTTCGGAGCTGGTTTCCTCAGTGATGCCACGTAATGTCTCCGACTTTGCTCTGATCTGATCTATAGTGAAAGCATCCCTTGTGGTTTTGTCCTTCAGTTTCTGACTGTTGAACTTGAATTGTGGTCTGTCTCCATTTGTTTTGAGGGATGTCAGCTTCACCTTGAAGGTTCCTAGAACTAGATGATGATCTGATCACACATCTGCTCCTCTTCTCGACTTTGTATCCAACAGGCTGCGTCTCCACTTCTTTCAGATTGAAATGAAACCTATTTGGTTTGTGGTATGTCCGTCAAGCGAAATCCATGTCGCTTAGTGTATATCCTTGTGTTTAAACACGCTCCCTCCGATCACCAAATTCTTGAAAGAGCAGAAGTTTGCGAATAATTCTCCGTTCCCGTTCATTTCACCGAGTGAGAGCTTACCGAACTATGATGAGTTCTCTTCCTGTATTATATGCTCCCAGTTCTGTTGGCACTTCTATCGCCCATGAGGATTTTGATGTCACCATTTCGGGTGTCTTCCATTACTGTTTGTAGTTTTCTGTAAAAATCTTCCTTCTTCTCTTGCTCTGCGTTGTTTGTAGGTGCGTAGCATTGGATAATTGTGACCTTTCATCTTTTTGAATTGAATCTTGGTGTCATGATCCTGGATAAAATTGGTTCCCATTGCATTAGGGCTTTGACTGCCACTGGTGTTATCATGGTAGCCACTCAATGCCTCAGTGTGCTCATGGTTGTCGTCTAGGTGGGTGGAGTAGGTTACTCAATCTCCAGTTGACAATTTTAATAGTTCACATCCATTCCATCTGCCTTTGTAGATACCCAGCACTTCTATGCCATATCTTGGAATTTCTTTGGCTGCTTGGGCAGCCTTCCCAGTCTCGTACATTGTACGAACATTCCGCGTCCCCATTCTTATTCTTGCTTTCATCGAGAGAATACACGTCGGCTGGCTGCCTGGCTTTCCGAAGGCTGGCTTTCACTAGCCAGCCCACTGTGTCGTTCTGCCTCTCCGATTCCAGAGACGAGTAAGATTGCTAAATGTTTCTTGTATTTTTAATATATTTTCTGTGCGCTGAAGTTTCTGTGGCACTCTGATTGGTTTTTTGGTGTAGGGTAGCTAGCCCTACGCCCAACCCTCCCTCTTTCCCCGAGCTAGGGACCGGCTAGAAAACTACAGAGCTAGTAAACTAGGTGAGGTTCATAATATAAACATTTTAGGCAAATTTTCACGTCGAATAACCCACTGTATTTCTAGAATAATTTGGAATCTTTTTTTTCTTTGATAATTAATTTAGGTTTGAAAGATGAATGTTCATTCAACAATTCTATAGAATATCATGATTTATCTATTCAGTGTTCTTACAATGGTACTATGAAACAATTTTAGTAAGTTTTCCACTAAAAAGCAAACCCTAATTGAATAAATACCAATACACACAGCAAATGAAAATGAATCGATGCCACACTCAAGGTCAAGCGAAATAACCTTGAGCAACCAATCGAAATCGTCTATTACAAAAATGGTATTTATTATGTAGGAAAGTTTACGGAATATGATTTCAAGAGAGAATATGTCTTTCAGATGCTAGGAAATTGTGTCCCGTTTTCTTCTAGGTACTGTTAATGACATATCAAACCACTTTGTATACAGGAATTCATTTTAGAAGGTGAACTATCTGATCGGTTGGTTGCTTTAGGTTATTTTGATGAGTTACTGAGTGTAATATCTATTTTTTATAATTACTGAATAACCATAGTGATTGTGAGAAGCCTGAAGATATTTTTATCGATGATATTTAACAATCTTGTCATTGTCTTCTCTCTGTTGTGGTCAATAATGCAGTCCAAGATGCACTTCTCGTCGTGATGGATATTTATTAGCCTAGTATTTACTTATTGTATACCCCTCAGATATGATATCCACTGCTTGGAGTCGAACTCGTGATGCATCACTGAGATCAAACATAACTGATGGGCTGTTGGATTCGGTCCCAGTGACTCAGTGGTATATGAGTTCATGTAGTAATCCGAGGGTTCTGGCGTAGCTGCGTACCGACAAAGAGTCCTGAAGAAGGGTGAGACATCTGTGCAGTACTCCCTGATTTTCAGTGGTTCCCCAACTGAAGTCAATGTGGGATCACACCTGAAATTTTTCATAATAATGCAAAAAGTGTTCCTATTGAAAACTGTTACTAACAGAACAGTAGATTTTGAGAAGTGAGAAAATGATATTTCATTGTGAAATTTGCATAAAGTCCAGTAGTTTAACTCTTTGAACTTCATAAAATCCCACCCCATGGTAGAGGAAATAGCGAAATTCAAAGAAACTTTAACACACGGAAAAGAAATAGAAAAGATTTGTAGCTCAGGTAGTTGATTTCGATGTAGTTGTGTTCTCTGAGCTTGCTGGATGGTTTATTTGCGAAGCTTTCATTGCCCTACTAGGATGTCATCCACTCCCTCATATCTCTATATAAAGACAGCCAAGGACATCAGTTCAACTGGGACAACGTTCGGCGACCATACCACGTTGAAACCACCGGTTCTCGTCCGATCACCGAATTTAAGCAACGTTGGGCCCGGTTAGTACTTGCATGGGTGACCGGCTGGGAATACAGGGTGTTTCCGGCTTTTGTGCGTCGGTGGTATAGCGGTTAGGATGCTCGCCGACCATGCACATGGTCCAGGGTTCGATCCCCGGCCGACGCACTCCTTTACCTCGTTGGGCCAGAAATAATGCTGGTAAAGAGGAAAGGTTGGGCATGAGGCTAGCAACCCCATCCTGTAAAATAAACATTGCTACAGAAACTTCAAGCCTCTAGCTTGAAGCCCTATGTTCCACTGGGGAACGTGAAGGAAAAAAAAGTTCAAGTATTAGACAGAGGAAACACCAAGAATGGTAGAGAATTTTTAGAAGTCTGGTATTCCAGCTAATCGTCAATCAGTAGACACATTGACATAGACAAAATTTACCAACCGATAAGAAGAAAATCTCACACACAAAGGGTCAAAGTTCAAGTCAAGGAAACAATCAGTACCAATAGAAGTGTAGCTTAGAGGGTGTGAGAAGGCACAAAAACAACCAATCACGTTCAAGATCACCCACCAGGAAAGACGACTAATATACTCGTGGAGAAATCTATAAGCTTACTTCATCAAATTGAAGTATGCGCTGAAGATGTCGACTGGTAGGGCAATGAAAGCTTCGCAAATAAACCAATTATCCAGCTCAGAGAACACAACTATATCGAAAACGGAAAAGTACAGTGGAAAGAGAGTGACTGTATTAACAGCACTGATAATATGATATCAGAAGTAAATGAAATCCAATTCAACTTTCAGTGAGAAAACGAACACTGTGGGTTAGACATGCAAGACTGTAGAATAAAACGAAAACAAGATGGTGGGTTAGATACTAGCTGGGCATTTATAGGAAACCGACACACTCTAACAAATACTAAGACTTTAATTCACCCCACCCAGAATCGGCGAAGGAGGATAGGTTTAGTTAAATGTCTGTATAATCGGGTCAATAACCTGACTAGTAAGCCAGAAGATCTAAGTAGTAAAATCAAATAAATAAAGGAGTTATTACCAGTGAATAACTACCCACGGGAAATGATGTATGTATGAAGAGCCATGGAAAAAAACTAAGACTAGCAATAAAAACCACGGAAGCAATACAGAATTCAAGGTCTCTCTAGTACTGCGGTTTAATGAAGGGACATCAGAGGCCTTACTTAGGATTCTCAATGAGCTTGGAATTAGGGTGGCATTTATAGCAACCAACCAACTTTCTCAGAGGAAAACTTTGTTGGCTTAGGGACCCAATAAATTCAATTAAGGAAAATAATATAATTTACTAAGTACCATGTAATGACTGTGAGGTCAATTTCACAAGTCGGTTAAACCAGTAGATCAGGGTCAACTAGATTATTGGAACATGAAAATTTAGCTAGACCTAGAATAACTGACCCTGATAAGTAAGTTAAGTAAGATAGAAAACAGCTCAGCCATTGCATTATGTTCACTTGCATGCAATCACAATTTCAAATCAGACTGTTCCGAAATAAATAACTTTTTATCAGAAATTAGTCAGTAGTCCTCATCAAATGGTCTTAAGCTAAATCCCTCCAAGTGCCAGGTTGTTAGTTTCACCTCTGAGATGCAAAAGCGACTTACGTGAACTAGTTAGTTCGGAAGCTTCCGCTATCATAGATGGCACTGAAGCTAAAACCTATTCGAATGTTAAATATTTTGGACTGTGTATCTCGTCTGATCTTTCCTGGTCTTCACAAGTATTGTTAGTTTTTAGAAAGATATTTCGTTTAACGTTTTATTTAAAGACGTTAAGACATTTTAGTATCATTCCATCTCTACTGTTACATTTTGTTAATTCTTGTATTCTGCCTATTCTTCTTTACTGCTGCCTTGCCCGGGCTGCAAACAAACTGAGGGAGTTGCCATGGGGTCACCAATATCCCCGGTTTTGGCAGATATATTCATGGATTGGTGGGAAAACTTAGCGATTGAAACGATCACCCTCACCCCAAAAGTATGGTGGAGGTATGTAGATGACACATTCACTGTACTCAGAACACAGGATATAAATAGGCTTTCCGAACACATTAACTCAAAGATAGAGGCAATTCAATTCACTTATGAATTGGAAAATCAGAAAGGGGAGCTCCCAGTGTTAGATTGCAACTTAAAAAGGAAAGCAGTTGGGAAGTCAAACTCTAGTGTTTACAGGAAAACTACACATTCAAACCGATATTTGGATTTCCGATCATCTCATCCTATGTCAGTAAAAATAGGATTGGTGAAATGTTTAAGTGACAGAGCACAAAAACTAAGTAGTACCAAGGAAAATCTAAGAGAGGAAGGGAGGTATATAAGAGAAGCTTTAAAACTTAATAATTACCCCGATAAATTAGCCAGAATTTATGTAGCGAATTATAAAAATAAATAAATAATAATAGTAGTGATAGTGATATTAATAACAATATCGTCAGTCCTAATAATATTAATGACGACATGCAAGTCAAATGTGCGCAAGACAACACCAACAATAAGGAATCGAAATCATCAGTAGTAATTTCATACGAGGAAGGAACCTCGGAAACCTTACGCAGAATTCTTAACAATGCTGTCAGGAATAAAAGTGGCATTCACACTATCCACAAACTCAATTAGAAACAAGCCTTGTCGGTTAAATGGTGGATCCTGCGGAGCCTTTAAAACAAAACAATTTAGTTCATCTAATACCATGCAATCATTGTCAGGTCAAATGCATAGGTCAAAGAAGTAGAACAGGGGCAGTCAGACTAGCCGAACATAAAAACCTAACAGCGAAATTTGGATCGGTTGACCCGAATAAGATAAGAAATCTAGAGAATAGTTCAGCCATAGCACTACACCACATGCTATCTATCTCTATCTCTATCTATCTCTATCCGGGAAGAGATCAACACAAGTGAAACCTATAAAAGACAGCCAAGGGAACCCAATTACCAAAGAAGAAAGACAGATTAAACAATGGGCGGACCACCTCAAAGGACTCTTGAAACGACCACCACCTGCAGCCCGTCCAGTAATACCAACAACAGCACGTACACAACTGCAAGTTGACACCAATCCTCCAGCGAAAACTGAAGTCATGAATGCAATCAAGCTTCTGAAAGCTGGAGAAGCAGCTGGACCAGATGGAATACCCCCGAAAGCACTGAAAGCGGACCCAGAAACGACGGCAGATATGCTGACTCCATTATTGCAAAAGATCTGGAAAGAGGGAAAGGTGCCTACTGACTGGAGGAAAGGTTACCTGGTGAAACTACCAAAGAAGGGCGACCTCGGACTCTGCAAGAACTGGCGAGAAATCATGCTCCTGTCGACGCCAAGTAAAATCCTGAGTCGCATCATCCTGGAGAGAATCAAGGACGCGCTGGATACAGAACTCCGACCAGAACAAGCTAGGTTCAGGAAAGGCAAATCATGTTCTGACCAAATTGCAACTCTACGCATTAGCATCGAACAAAGCATGGAATGGCAATCAAATCTCTACCTCAACTTCATAGACTTTGAGAAGGCCTTCGACAGCGTTGACCGCGAAGTAATTTGGAAACTACTCGAGTACTACGGCGTACACCAAATATTCATCAACCTTATCCAACAACTGTACGACAACGGCACATGTCAAGTGATCCACAACGGAAAACTCAGCGAGGCGTTTGGACTAAACACAGGAGTCAGACAAGGGTGCTTATTATCACCAATGATATTCCTAATTGTGGTGGACTGGATTATGCGTCAGACAGTGGGAAACGAGAAGACAGGGATATCCTGGACAGACGTGAAGAATCTAGAAGACCTGGATTTCGCGGATGATTTATGTTTGATGTCACACAAAATCGAAGACTTACAAGCGAAACCGACAAACTGGTCGAAGAAGCAGCAAAGACAGGACTGCAGGTGAACATAGACAAGACGGAGGTCATGAAAATAACCAACCAACAACAGCAGCAACATCCAGTGCCAATCACCATCAACGGGAGGGATTTGAAAGAGGTTACTTCATCCACTTATCTAGGGAGCATTGTCTCAACCACAGGAGGAACGGACGAGGATGTCAAATCGAGAATCGGGAAGACGAGAAACACATTCATCAACCTGAAACCAATCTGGAAATCTTCCGCTGTCACTCAACATCAACAACAAAATTCGGATTTTCAATGCAAACGTGAAGTCAATTTTGCTTTACGGATCAGAAACTTGGCGAGTCACCAAGAATATTTTCAACAGGTTGCAGACCTTTATCAACAACTGTCTTCGCTCCATACTGAAGATTAGATGGCCAGAAAGAATCACAAACAAGAAGCCATGGGAACAAACGAAACAGGAACCAATCGCCCAACAAATATGCAGGAGGAAGTGGAGATGGATTGGACACTCGCTGAGGAGGCCGTTGAGTGACATCGCGCGTCAGGCCCTCGAGTGGAACCCGAAAGGGAAGCGGCGAGTGGGACGTCCACGAGTGACATGGAGGAGATCGTGTGATGAGGAACTGAAACAGTATGGAATAACATGGACGCAAGTGAAAAGTACAGCACAAGACAGAAGCAAGTGGAGACGTGCAGTTGAAGCCCTATGTTCCACTAGGAACCCAAGGGAACAATAATACTACACCACATGCAATTACACACAACCATACAATAGGAGGGGATAATATGATGGTTTTAAACTCTAATGTACAGGGTGGAGGGAGAGATCGATAACAGAAACTTTGTTTATCGAATCAACTAAGAGAGAATACGTGTAACAGGAATGATTCAACACCTGTCCATTCGGGCATCTGGAAAATTCTACTACCCCTACGACGACAAATGGGAAAAAGCAAAGAAAACTATAAAACTCAAGTTTCAAAGTCGTGTGATTATAATTGATGATATGATTATGAACAATAAATTTTGTCTGAAATGTCATCCAGTAAATAATACTGATTCACTGTGTGATACATCTAATAAACAAACTAATATGGAATTGTTTAAAAGAGTTCAAACACACTGTAGCACTTCTTCGGCGTTGAAAAGAATGGAGGAAAAATACCTACTAACAGTCTTCAAAAAGAATGGATATCCCCACTGTTTTATCAAAAATTGTTTAAACTTAGGTCACAACACCAACGAGAAACCATCATCAAACACTACAGGGAAAATCATCCTACCATATATATATATATATATATATATATATAATATCTCTGAAGTAACAGCTAGAATATTAAGACCGTTTGAAGTAAATATAGCACACAAGCCAACGAGCCAGCACAGTCACTTCATTCAATGTTGTGCACAGCAAAAGAGCCATCCAACAGGAAAAGAAGATAAAATTAATACTATTTACAAAATAAACTGCATGTATGAACTGCAATAAACATTACATCGATCAAAGTGGGCATCCCCTTCGAATCCGAATCCAAGAACACAAATTAATTGTGAAAAGACATGATATATATTCTTTCATACCGATGCATGTAGATAATTATGGACACCAATTTGATGATTGGGATAATGTAGAAATTTTAAATAGAGAGAGCACCAAAAGTGCCAGAGAATTCCTAGAAGCCTGGTACTCAAATGAATCAGCCAACAATTAACAAACAAATTACCATATGCCAAATTTACCAACTAGTTAAAAGTAAGTGCGTTGGTGGCACAGCGGTAGAATACTCGTCAACCACGCATGTGGTCCGGGGTTCGAACCCCGGTCGATGAGGCACTCCTTTACCTCACCAAGCCAGTAATAAGACTGGTAAAGAAGGAAAGTTGGGCATGAGGCTAGTAAACCCATCCCGTAAACATAAACACATCTGCTACCGGAACTTCAAGCCTCTAGCTTGGAGTCGTATGTTCCACAGGGAATGTAAAGGAATAAACAAAATTTAAAGTAAATCACGTGACGAGAAAAATTTAAAATCCAAGTCAATAAAAATGATCAGTACTGATGTAAATCGACTACCATTCACAAAGATGGTTGCCAGGAGACGCAGTTTTATCATTCATGGAAAATTTAAATCAGTTCATTTCATGCTAAAACTTGCGCTGAATATGTTGTCTAGAAGGGGGACGACGAAAGCTTCGCAATTAAACCGCCAACCGGCTCCACAGAGAACACCACTAATTCCAATACAATCCACCTGAGCTACAAATCTCCTCTATTATTTCAATCAGTACTATTATCCCATCAGGCTATCTTGCTTACTTTCTTGATTAGTATCAAACTATTTCACCATAACCTGTTTGATTTGCAAAAATTGCGGATTTAGTTTTGAAAATGTTTCAGTCATTTGGGCAGCTAGATATTTTTTATTGACATGTACGAGTGGACATATTTCTTAAGCTCAGTTTTATCAATAAAATCATCTTTCTGATTTATTTTTTTTCTTCTTCTTTAAAGTGACCGCCAATTAAATTGTCAATGGATTAAACAGAAATACAGACCACCAGTTATTTTACGTCATATTACTGAAACACAAATGATGCTAAGGAAAACAGTCAAAGTGGGGAATCATTTCATATCAAAGTCAAATTGGAAGCGAAGTTGCCCATTAGGATATTATCGTGAAATGTATATCAATACAACTGAGGTAAGAGTAATATTATTATTATTCCATTGGGTTCCGAGTGGAACATACGGCTTCAACAACACATCCCCACTTTCTTCTATCTTCTGCCATCTTCTTCAGCTGGCTAGCTCCATAATCTTTCATCTCTAAGTCCTCCAACTCACACGATTACCTCTATGTCACTCTCGCATCGACGACGCAGTCGTCGTTTCCCATTGGCATTCCACTTAAGCGATGGCCTGCATTGAACGCGACGTCATTCGACGGTCTCCTCAGCGTATGGCCAATCAATCCATCTCCACTTTCGCCTGTATATTTGTGAGCAATCGCCTCTCACCTGTTGGTTTGTTCGCAGTCAGAGTTTCTTGTTGATAATTCTTCCTGGTCAGCCGGCTCAAATAAGTTGAGTGGCCAACGTGGTCTATCACTTGACTGTATATTTTTATGCTAGGAGTCGGTGTATTCCAGTCTTGCAGCACCATCGTATATCTGATAGGGGCAAACCGCATACCAAACATTCGAAGATTTCTGCTCAAAGTGTTCAGAAGATTCTGCTTTTTATTGGCAATAAGTCAATCCCTAAGTCACTAAAGTCAGTGAGGATTAATTCCACCGGTACATGATGAACACCATTGGTAGTCATCACTTCAGATGACGACTCTCCATAAGCTCTTGTGGTGAGAGCTGGCTGCTAGTCAAAGTTGGTGGACAGTAAGTAATTGACGTCAATGTTTATGTCCCCAATATTGGTGGTGAGAAAATGAGAACAAAGTCTTTGCGTAGGCGGATACAGTTAGCATATAGATGATCTGACACAGCCACAAAGAGATGCAAGGTTAACTTTCTGTGAGAAACAACCAATCAAAAGACTGTATTTTCTACTAGCAATAATCTACAATAATGTACATTAAAATCTATAAATATGTGTTGATTTTACTTAATAAACGATCTGTTGCCTGGCCCTTGTCTTCTGTTGTTATAGTCTTATGTGGCTTTTTAAGTTCAAGTTGAATGTCTTGATTCCTGCGAGATACTTTCTCGGCACTGCCTCACGGTCAAATACTGCCATAACAATTCTGTGCCTTCAGGTCAAGAAATATGACAACTGTTGGACGCCGACAAGTATGCCTAAGTTCTGAAATCGGTCTCAGAGTGAATGTTTGATCAACACACCCTCTCCTTGGCCTAAAGCCTGATTGGTGTTTTTGAGTCTGTTTCTCTAGAGCACCACTTATTCTATGCATGAATACTCAAGCTAGAACTTTAGACAGTATATTAGTCAAGCTAATCTCTTTATAATTATCACAAGAAGACTTGTCTCCTTTTTTATAAACTGGCATAATCAGTGACTTAAAGCAGTTTAAGGGGACGATTCATGATTCCCAGACACTAACTAATATCCTAGTTAACCTAGGCAACAGTTCGTTGCCAAGGTTCTTGAACACCTCTGAAGTCATTCCATCGGGTCCTACTGCTTTGCCCGTTTCAGAATAGAGGTAGTTTTTGTAACCCCAAGTACAGATGGAGAACCGATATCTACATACCATTTAGTTAGGTGCTGGATGCTAGACAAGTTGGACGTCTCTGAAGGGCTCCTCGAAGTGTTCCCTCCAAATTCCCAGGCGTCTAGCCTGAGAACTAATTAAGGCGTCACTTTGCTTCAAGATTGTGACACTTATTTGTATTTTGCAGCCTGTTTTCCTAATAAACCTAAAGATTTGTTGCATGGAGGGTTTCATCATGAGCTGACATCAGTTAGAGAACCACTGGAAAACCAGCTGGGAGTACTGGACAGCTGTTTCGTCCTAGTTTGGGACTCTTCAGCAGTACGCGCCCAACGGGATTCGAACCCAGGACCTTCTGGTTACGAGGCGAGCTCGTAGACCATTGAGCCACTGGGACCCGATCCAATGGTCCTTGAATTCTAACTTCTGTCGAAGATGAGGACAGTTACTCACGAAGAAGACATTGCGAAATGGTCGCGCTATGTCGTGAATTGGCAGAAGTTAGAATTCAAGGACCGTTGGATCGGGTCCCAGTGGCTCAATGGTCTACGAGCTCGCCTCGTAACCAGAAGGTCCTGGGTTCGAATCCCGTTGGGCGCGTACTGCTGAAGAGTCCCAAACTAGGACGAAACAGCTGTCCAGTACCCCCAGCTGGTTTTCCAGTGGTTCTCTAACTGATGTCAGCTCATGATGAAACCCTCCATGCAATCAAACCAAATCCCTACAAAACCAATACTTGCAAACTAAAGATTTGTCTCGTTTCGCCTGTCGCCAATGCCTTTTCCATCTCTTTCGACTTTGTTGGACCTTCAACTTACGAGGCGATCCCTACTAAGTAGACTTAAACCAGGATGAAACAGATCTTTAGTTTACCCTGTAACGACAGAAGGCAAGAGTCAGGCAACAGATCATTTATTAAGGAAATCAACGCATATTTATATATGTTTTCATGTACATTACTATGGATATGTAAACAAACAAACACAGTATTCCGATTGGTTGTTTCTTACGACAAATCTTGGGAACGTAAATATTGACGTAAATTACTGTCTACCAATTTGGCTAGTAGATAGCTCTCACCACAACCCTAGTTCCATATAGTCCTCTAAATGATTTTTGATCGTGACAAGACCTACATTGAAATCAACTAACTACCAAAAGAAAGATTTCTATAAAAGTTTATATATATAGCCATTACTTCAAATTATTGTATTTTGTATTTTGCTAGTGTATGCCTTGTCCACCGGATCATTTCGCTGATGAGTCAACTTCTGCCTACAAATGTAATGCATGTCCTATGCGTCAATCAACTACAAATGGTATTTCAGGAGCAATATCTATACACTGTTTAGCAAATCAGGTGAGTAAAGTTTGTTCCTTTTAGGTTTTATTTTCCAAGTATAGGCAATGAGTTCCAGAGTTTCATCCAAATTACTAGAAATGTTACCGGACAAAATAGATAAATTACTTACTGAAGCCCACGAGTAAGAATTATGTCTATGAGATATGACTTTCGTAGATGGAAGCTGTTATAAAGTTGTCAATTTTTAGCGAATATTCAAAGCGGACATCTGCTGAGAAGATATGGATTGGAGTCCGAATGAAGAAAGATGAATTGAGTATCTGACAGTAGCATATGAAGAGGATATGAGAGCCTGTGGGCAGTCATGGAGCAGCCTGGAATAGACTCCAGAGAACGAAATGAAATGGAAATGTGATTCTAAAGCCCAGCGTTCCACACAGAACTCAGCAGAAGAACAATCATGATATTTGTCTTCAATACAGTTGGTTTTATCCACAGAAGGTTTAGATTGGATAGAAAGTAAAAGGTATCACTGGCTCTGTAAGTTTTCGCCTGGCATTTATTCTCAGATGTAGAGAACGAGCCATGTAGACGCAGCTACTGAAAACTACTGATTTTATAGTCTCACTTTATTTCCGTGCCGCTCAAATCCTTGTCTCTTTTATTCTAACATTCTCTAGTCATTACGATTGTTTTACAAATTTCACCGTTGTGGATGTTATTTAGTCATTTAGTACTGTTATGAATTTTTTAATTTTCGTTATCTTATGGTGCTATGATTATTATTCCCTTTGGTTCCAAGTGAAACGTCTCCATTTTGTCCTGTTCTCTGCAATTCATTTTAGATGGCTTTACGACTAACCATAAACTGTCGTCTCCTTGTCTAATAATCTCTTCTAACTCATCGTTACTCATTCAGGCTACACTGGGTCTCCTGGTGCGCGATGTCTTTCGACAGTCTCCTCAGAATGCATTCGACTCATCTCTCTTTCACTGATCATTAGATTGTCGATCTGTTTGCTCCTAGAGTTCTTTGTTGCTAACTCATTCTGGGCATCTGATCTTCAGTTGGGAGCCAGCGAAAACATCTCTTGATAAAAGTTTATACGAGCTTGTTGGAATTGCTTTCGTGAAGCGCCAACTTTCTCACGTATAGTGTCAAAAGTTGAAAACTCGTTCCCTTTGCTGAATGCTGCAATTTTCAATGCTGTAACGACAGAAGGCAAGAGTCAGGCAACAGATCATTTATTAAGGAAATCAACGCATATTTATATATGTTTTCATGTACATTACTATGGATACGTAAACAAACAAACACAGTCTTCCGATTGGTTGTTTCTCACGACAATCTTGGGAACGTAAATATTGACGTAAATTACTGTCTACCAATTTGGCTAGTAGACAGCTCTCACCACAGTCCTATTCGGAACTCGGCAGATGGATGTACTTGAAAACATGCACTTCGGTTCAGCCAGTCGACACGAAAGTCTAAGTTTGATTAAATTACAGTTCGTGTTGAGAATTCCAATGTTGTTTAAAACAAGAGGATTTACCAGTGATTAATTGTTCCCTACTATGAAAGAAAACACATTCAGTGAAGAGTTACTGTTTTGAGAGATATCGTACTCAAGCTGCACAATCGCATATATATAGTAAATTATCTTAGCCACTAGAGGGATATTTCGAGAGATGTGTCATTAGAATTGTAAATGTTAGACAACAAATTGCGTAATATTAAAAGCCCTAATCTTGTGTAAACTATAGCAAAATCAGATAAGTAAATTGCATTGATTTTCTATCTTATTCGGATCAGCTAAACTAGATTTTGCTAGGTTTTTATGCTTCACTAGTCTGACCACCTCTGTTCTACTAGTTTGACCTATGTATTTGATCTGCAGTGATTGTCATTTCAGTAATCTAAATCATCAGTAGTAATTCCATACAAAGAAGAAACTTCGGAAACCTTGAGAAGAATTTTTAACAAGGCAGGAATAAAAGTGACTGGCATTCAAACCCACAAACTCAATTAGAAACAAGCCTTGTCGGTATAAGGATCAATCCTGTGGAGCCTTTAAAACAAAACAATTTAGTTTATCTAACACCCTGCGTGCGATGATTGTCAGGTCAAATACATAGGTCAAACTGATAGTAGAACAGGTGCAGTCAGTTAGACTAGTCGAGCATAAAAACCTAGCAGCAAAATCTAGATTGGTTGACCCGAATAAGATAACAAATCTAGAGAATAGTTTAGCTATAGCACTCACTGCATGCAATTACACACAATCATACAATAGGATGGTTGGGATAGGATGACAGTTCTAAAATGCAGTGTAACAGGGTGGAGAGAGATATTGATAACAGAGGCTTTGTTTATCGAATCAACTGAGAGAGGATACGTGTAATTGGAATGATTCAACATCTGTCCACTCAGACATCTGGAAAATTCTACTACCCCTACGATGACAAATAGGAGAGAACAAAGGAAACTATAAAACTCGAGTTTCAAAGTCGTGTGATTATAATTGATGATATGATTATGAACAATAATGAATTGTGTTCGAAACTGTGTCATCCAATAAGTAATTATACTCTTTCATTCACTGTGTGATACATTTAATAAACAAACTAATATGATAAAAGTCGATTTATAACTATGGAGTCTGATGTAGAAGTTATCGAAGACAACTATTGTTCGCTCAAAATCACTGTCATCATCATTTTCTGATTACATATTTAAATTTTATTTTGTAGAATCAAAAAATCAGTAAACACTTTTTACGGAAACGTAACATACTACTTAAAGTAGCAAAACGAAGCATTCAACCAGTTTCTAGTAATACTGAAGAAGATATTAAAGAACATTTAATGAAATGGTTACAACCTGATGAAGAGAGACTGAAATTACAAGATGATGCGATCAATATATTCAAGGTTAGTCTGCTAAGGCAAACTTTCTAATAGTATTCAATTAACTTGTCATTTGTATGGGCATAAATAATAGCAAACATTAAATTAGACTTTTTTGAAGGAGACTTAGTTTAGGAGACTGACGTGATTTAGTGGATACAGGCAAACATGTGGACTCAGCAGGGGCCTATTGGATTACTGGACTTGTGCTATATGCGAAATGTCGGCAAATGAAGAGCAGTTAAACTTTAACAGCTGACCTATGTTACTCAGCGATATATGGCACTGAGAAGTCGCAAGAAATTGAGCGATAGCATGTGCATGATGTCCTTTGATGTCGACGTCTACACGTGAGCTATAGTGATAGCGTACTTTGATTAGATACTAGTTAGTTACTAATGTAGTGTATCTGGTCCTTTCTTTTGTGCAGAATGAATTATCTCAGTCAAGATCAAAATGCAAACAGCATTCTCGGTGGCTCACCATCAAGGTACACTTTGAAATTGTGAAATTAGATGGTTGGATGGAATCGGCAGGAAGGTATGGATCTAGGTTTCTTGCTAGTTGGCACTCACCAGTCAGCAAGCAAGGCGTAGCTGCAACCATCCTGAAGGAACTCATGTCCCTTCTGACATTCGAACCTGAATAGTTCAGTGCAGCACTGAGTGATACTGCAGATACACCTTGCTGACTGACTGGTGAGCGCCAACTAGCACGAAACCCAGGTCCATGTCTTCCTGCTGATTGCCTCCAACTATTTAAATTAGTGACAGTGTGCCCTAGGTCTGGGAACCTAGCCCAAAAGGTGTGGACTGGGCTCAGGGCTTTCAAGTATTCCCATTGAACAAGATATTCATGGTAAGTAAAAGTCGCAAGCCTGCAATGATCATGATCGTGTCATTTGTATACAACAGTAGTCGCTGATCTGATTACTGAAACTGAAAATATGTTATTTTGTTTAAAATTTATCTGGCTGATATGTGGAATAGAATAATCTACAAAATCAACTGTTGGGAAAACATGCTCTAGTACATTTCTTTTTATGACACTGAAACTGACTTAATGCGAACTTATACCATAGGCTTGGTGAATATTCGATTGATGCCACTGACCTTTTACTGACGGAATGATAATAACTTCTGAAGGGTTATCAGAAACTAAGATTCATTTAACACAGTGGTTTCGCCCCAAAAGGGGTCTCTTTTTCCAGGTCTTATGGACCTTCATATGCAAAATCGATCCGGATGATTCATTTTGTGTCTTGTATTTACTAACTCACCGAATTTAAAAGCATCGGATGATGAATTCTGAAGCTCATCTTGAGAACTGAGGTTTCCATTCTCAGTTGTGTTGTATAGAACCATATAGTTTCACTTTTAATAAACTGTGACTTCGATGGAAACAGATATCCAGATTTTGAGACTGTGTACGGATTTTGATTAATTCTGATAAAAATTTCACAATGAAACGCCATCATTTAGGGAATCATTGAAAGCCAAAGCTCACTGAAAACAGCAGTTTCTTCCAAGTATCTGAATCTCCAGCAATCCAAACGCGTGACTGAATCAGGGATTGAACCCAGGTAAATCGGTTCACGAGGTCAGATAGTTCACCATTCAGCCACTGAAATCCAATGCCCCCTAAATCTGTGATATAGAGCCATCCGTGGAAAATTTCCATTAGGACATATAGAAAATCAAAACAAGTGATTCAGCCAACAGACTCTTTACAACGAATATTTTATAAAAACAAAATAATCGAGCAAAGAATATTCTTTTCGATAAATTCCTCTTCCAGGCTCTACAATTATATATATGTTTATATACACAGAATATTTTAAATTAGTAGTTAATAACAATATTAGCGTTTTTTTTAAAATAATATCGATTTGTAAAGTAAGATCACAATTGAATCACCACAGTTCATTAAAGATGCTTAAATTATAATAATAACAATAAAGATATAATAGTGAATAGAATATCAACTAAAATTAGGGAAATTCCACAAAAATTCCTGATTATTCAAACCTGGATGGCCAAGGTAATGATAATGACTGGACTAACTTCTTTTGGGTGCATAAATTAGGCTTATTAATATGAATCCCCACAGCCTCAGCAATATTTAGAAGTCGAACTGTTAAAGCGAAATTGAGATTCATAGGTATGCGGTAAATGACCCTGAAAGCATGGTTAACGTCAATCTTGTGTCCTGTCTCCACAAGATGCGCCAGAATAGCGCTGCGAATAGATTTTGTTTAACCTTTGCTAATATTGTTATTAACTACTAATTTAAAATATTCTGTGTATATAAACATATATATAATTGTAGAGCCTGGAAGAGGAATTTATCGAAAAGAATATTCTTTGCTCGATTATTTTGTTTTTATAGATGTCGGAATGAACATTTTTGCAATAACGAATATTTTATCAAGCTGTACAATCGCGTATACATGAAATTCTTTAATCTTTAAGAGATTATACCCCCTGAGATAATTTAAACACAGATGTGAACATATAAAATAATAATAGTAGTACGATTATAATCACAATTGAATGTCAAGTATCAAGTGGCAAAGTAAATTCACCTGCTCATATGGAGCTAGGTACATCGGTCGTCCTACCAGGGTTTTCGCCAAAAGGGTGCAAGAACAATATCCCGTGCGTTTAACAAGAGGTGGAAATGGAGAAATAGGAAATGCAATCATTGAATATCTGGTCGATGCTGGCCACCCTATCTCCACAGTCTCCTCCTTCAAAGTCATCTACAAGGCAAAAGGTTACCTACTGAAATCATCACGTATCCGACTCATCTGTTCTGCTGAAACTTTTGCTATTGACATAGAGATGCCGGATCTGTGTTTACAGAAATAGGCTGTTCAACCCCTCCAGCTCTAATGGTCTTAATACTTCTGTGCTAAAGTATGGTAATCCCCAATCAGATTTTAGCTCTACTCACTTTTGATTTTGTTTATTGAGTTTGTATATCCTTCCCTTATTAGGATGTCGTTTGTTGTGACTATTATTATTCTCACTTTGAACTATTTTCATTTGTCTCAGTTTTCATTCGAAGTCAAATGTTTGTTTTTGTAATGTTAAATTCCATGTTATCAGATATCACGTCGTCTTACGTAGCGATTTTATTTTATTATATTTGCCTACTAATCATATAATTGTACACCCCTTCCAAGTTCTATACATCCTCTGAATTATTCTATATATTTCGAGTATTGGTTTTTGTGGCGATTTTATTTGATTGGTTGGAGGATTTCATCATGAGCTGATATCGATTAGAGAACCAACCAGAAAGTACTGGAAAGCTGTTGTGAACTAGTTTGGGACTCTTCATCAGTGCGCACCCACACCATTGGGTTCGAACCCAGGAAATTCTGGTTACAAGGCGATCCAATGGCCAGTCCATGAATTCTTACTTCTGTCAATTCATGGCATACCGCGACCATTTCGCAATGTCTTCTTCGATGAGTTACTGCCTCACCTTAAACCTGCTGTACCTTACTGGTCACGACTTCCCACTAGGACCTACTTGAATAGGGCCAGTCACTAGTGAGCATCAGATTGAAATTCAAGTATTGCTTTGTAGGGATTTGAATTGGCAGAAGTTAGAATTTATGGACTGGCCATTGGATCGGGTCCCAGTGACTGAATGGTCTGCTGGCTAGCTCGCCTTGTAACCCGAAGGTCCCGGGTTCGAACCCCTGTAGGGTGTGTACTGATGAGGAGTCCCAAACTAGGCTGACGAAACAGCTGTCCAGTACTTCGCGGTGGTTTTCCAATTGTTCCTTAACTGATGTTAGCTGATGATGAAATCCCCCAACTATTCTATACATGACATTCATGGTTTTGCCACTTGACATTTAATTGTGATTATAATCACAAACATTTGAATTGCTTTTCTTACTACTATTATTATTTCATGTGTCCACACCTCTGTTTACATTTCCTTACAGGGCATGATTTCCTAAAAAATACAAAAGCCATACATATATACGATTGTACAGCTTGATCATAAATTCATTGAAAAGAGTCTCTTGGCTGAATCACTTATTTTGATTTTCCATATATTACTATCGCCAACAAGTACACTTTGTTAAGCATCCGTTTCAACCCGATATGATGACTTCCTCGCGAGACAACTTCTCACTTGAACTCCAGCACGATGAGCTAACCTCTTTATCCATAAGTGCTGGTTCCTATCCCTGTTGAGTAGAACCATGCCCGCGAACTGCTAAGCAATTCCTAACTAGGCCGAAACATCTGTCCAGTTCTCCTTGGTTTTTCAGTGATTCTCTAAATGATATTTATCGATTTTGCCGAATTTCTCAAGACTTTTTTCAACTTGTGATTGTGTAGAAACTTTTCTTGTTTCGCTTCGATTTCAGGAGTTGAACTGTCTAGGATTCTCTTCACATGAATTATTCCTAATGATAATAATATCGATTGGAATTGCATGGTTCGGTATATGCTTAACATTCATTTTATTTCTCAGTGTACAAGAACCATTTGGTTATCAGGTGGATGAAAGGAAATATGCTAAGCGTAGAAGCAAGTTGACGAAAATCTCTGATTCAATTGTAAATTTGATGCTATTTTTCATAGAATCAGTGAGTAGATCTTACTTCTTTGTGTCAGTATTTTTCTTAAAAGTATCTTATATATGCATATATATTCTTGATGGTGTACGAGCTCGCCTTGTAACCGGAAGGTACTGGATTCGAACCCTGCTTCGCGTGAGTGTGTACAAATGAAGAGTCCCAAACTAGTAGGACTAAATGGCTGTCCAGTACTCCTCCCTGGGTGGTTTTCTAAGTGGTTCCTTAACTTCTTTTAGCTATTGATGCTCACTAGTGACTGGCCCTATTCAGTTACGTTACCTGGGTCTTAGTGCGAAGTATTGATCAGCGGGATGAAGCTGGTAGGGTGTGAGGACAAATACTCGCCATGTGGTGAACTGGCAGAAGTAGAAATTCATGGAATGGTCATTGGATCGGGTCCCAGTAGCTAGGTGGGCTATAACTCCTGTGGTGAGTGCATACCGATTAAGAGTCCCAAACTAGGCTGACGAAACAGCTGTTCAATACTCCCAGCTGGTTTTCCAATGGTTCTTTAGCCGATGTCAGCTCATGATGGAATCCTGTAACTAATCAAATCCCTAAGAACCAACACTTGAATGGTAACTGCAATGTTTATATTATCGTTTTCGTGGACGACTTATGTTGTGAAATATGCTTCATTCAGAAGGCGGACAAATGTTTTTGCAACAGTTTAGTTATACAGCCAAAGAACTCAGATTCTACCGAAAGGAATTATAATACCATCTAGGATATGCCTTTTACGGACGTAACGTATACATACAATAACTTGAAGTAATAAGGAGTTTTTAACTAACACATGCCTTCCCCATGCATGGTAGAGTCACTAACATCACGCCAATTCCTACCTGTTTTTTAAAGTCACTACTAGTTAGACGGCGTGACGGGGTGGCCGAGTGGTTAAGGCGATGGACTGCTAATCCATTGGGGTTTCCCCGCCTAAATCAGTATAAATGGGAGGAACCTGAAAGAAACAACCTCTTTTACCTACCTGGGAAGCATCGTTTCAACTACAGGCGGACGGAACCGATGGGAATATCAAAGCAAGAATCGGAAAAGCAAGACAAGCTTTCACTACTCTCAAGTCTGTGTGGAGGTGAACAGCATTCAGCGTCAGAAATAAGATCCGGATTTTCAACTCCAATGTGAAGTCAGTCAGTGCTACTCACTATGCGGATCAGAGACTTGCACTGCGGGTGATAAAGAGCATCTCAAACAAACTACAGACCTGCATTAACAGTTGTCTTCGCTCAATACTCAAGATCGGATGGCTGGCCAGAAAAGATCAGCAACAGGGATCTCTGGGAGGGAACCAACCAGGAACCGATTGTGAAAGAAATAGGCAGGAGGAAAAGGAGATGGATTGGCTGGCCAAACTCTGAGGAAACCATCAAGTGACATCACTAGACAAGCCACTGCTCGAGTGGAGCCCGAAAGGGAATCGGCGAGTTGGTCGTCCAAGGGTGACTTGGAGGAGGTGATGAAACATGTGGGCAGACATGGAGCCAGGTGAGGACTATAGCAGAGAACCGAACTCAATGGAGACGCACGGCTGAAGCCCTATGTTCCTGTAGGAATTAAAGGATACAATAATAATAATAATAACTAGTTAGACGAGTTTTAGGAGTGAGTTTGGCGGGAACCAAACAGATATATTGTATCCTGTTGCTAATGCAGTATTAAACTGTGGGAATATGTGAGAACAGTATTCCGTTGGAACACAATGTCTGTATCACACCACCACACTTTTCACCCCCTCAAATACTTTCAACTGAAGTCGGTTTCGTCGTCTTGGTGCTGCCGTCTTTGTCTGCTTGTCTTACTGTATCCATTTCCTAAGGTGGCTGAAGCTCACCCGCTTCTCTTTACTTGTATTTCTGATCGTATAAACGTGACTCTGTCTCACGGTGACCATGTATGGTACTTCCCACTTTGGAAGCAGTTTGCATGACCCTGGCTGCTGCGTTTTCGCCAGTGTTTCGCCTCACACTATCGTATGCTGCCTTCAAAGTAAAAGCCTCTTCACTGACGGACTTTGAACGCCATTCAACTCCGCAACAGCCCAGTAAGTCCTGCCAGAAAATCCATATGTCTCCTTCTTCAAAAACTGCAGGCCATGAGATTTTCACTTCTCGAAAAGCAGAGACACCAAGTATAACAGCAGAAGGCAAGACACCTAAGCAGAGGTATATGTTCAATTGATTACACCGCTGTTTATATATCCACAGTTTATATTCTTTAACCAATCAATGGCCGTGTGATTTTGGTTTATATTAAAGGATATGAAATAGAATGTTCAAATATATATATATATATGTATATTATTATTATTTCCTTTAGTTCCTAGAGGAACATAGGGCTTCAGCCATGCGTCTCCATTGCGTTCGGTTCTCTGCTAGAGTTTTCACTTGGCTCCAGGTCTGCCCACATGCTTTCATCTCCTCTTCACATGATCTCCTCCAGGTCACCCTTGGACGACCAACTCGTCGCTTCCCTTTCGGGTTCCACTCGAGGGCTTGTCTAGTGATGTCACTTGCTGGTTTCCTCAGAGTGTGGCCAATCCATCTCCATTTCTTCCTGCCTATTTGTTTCACAATCGGTTCCTGGTTGGTTCGCTCCCAGAGATCTTTGTTGCTGATCCTTTCCGGCCATCTGATCTTGAGTATTGAGCGAAGACATCTGTTAATGAAGGTCTGTAGCTTGTTTGAGGTGCTTTTTGTGACACGCCAAGTCTCTGATCCGTATAGTAGCGCTGACTGACTTCACATTGGAGTTGAAAATCCCGATTTTATTTTTGACGCTGAATGATGTTGATCTCCACACAGACTTGAGAGTAATGAAAGCTTGCCTTGCTTTCCCGATCCTTGCTTTGATATCCTCGTCAGTTCCGCCTGTAGTTGAAACAATGCTTCCCAAGTAGGTAAAGGAGGTAGTTTCTTTCAGGTTCTTTCCATTTATGCTGATTGCTGTCTGTTGTTGTTGGTGTTGGCCAGGGATCTTCATCACCTCCGTTTTCTCTATGTTCACCTGGAGTCCTATCTTTGATGCTTCTTCTGCCAACTTGTTACTTTTCACTTGCATATCTTCCAGTTTGTGGGAAATCAGGCATATATCATCGGCGAAGTCCAGATCCTCCAAGTTCTTTGTGTGAGTCCATTTTATGCCTGTTTCCTCATTGCCCGCTGTTTGTCGCATTATCCAATCTACCGCAATCAGGAAAATCATTGGCGATAGTAGGCAACCCTGTCTTACTCCTGTCTTCACTTCGAAGGATTCCGTGAGCTTCCCGTTGTGGATTACTTGGCATGCAGCGTTGTCATACAACTGTTGGATGAGATGTATTATTGTCGGTGGCACCCCGTAGTAGCGAAGTAGTTGCCAAATCACCTCTCGATCGACGCTGTCGAAGGCCTTTTCAAAGTCGATGAAGTTGAGATAGAGAGGTGACTGCCATTCCAAACTTTGTTCAATGATGATCCGTAGTGTGGCGATTTGATCGATACATGACTTGTTTCTCCTGAATCCAGCTTGTTCTGGTCGAAGTTTTTCATCCAGGGCTTGTTTGATCCTTTCCAGGATGATGCGGCTTAGTATTTTGCTTGGGATGGACAGGAGCATAATTCCGCGCCAGTTCTTGCATTGACTTAAGTCTCCTTTCTTTGGTAGTTTGAATAGGTATCCTTTCTTCCAATCCTCGGGTACTTTGCCTTCTTTCCACACCTTCTCCAGTAGTGGCGTCATCATGTTTGCTGTTGTCTCTGGGTCCACTTTCAATGCTTATATATATATGTAGTATTCTATAAAACAGAATAATCGAGCAAAGAATATTCTTTTCGATAAATTCCTCGTCCGGCTCTACAATTATATATATATGTTTATATACACAGAATATTTTAAATTAGTAGTTAATAACAATATTAGCGTTTTTTAAAATAATATCGATTTGTAAAGTATGATCACAATGGAATTACCACAGTTCATTAAAGATGCTTAAATTATGGCAATAATAATAAAGATATAATAGCAAATAGAATATCAACCAAAATTAGGGAAATTCCACAAAAATTCCTGATTATTCAAACCTGGATGGCCAACGGGGTAAGGATAATGTCTGAACCAACTTCTTTCGGACGCACAAATTAGGCTTATTAACATGGATCCCAACAGCTTCAGCAATGTTTAGTAGTCGAACTCTTAGGGTAAAATTGAGATTCGTAGGTATGCGGTAAATGACGCTGAAAGCATGGTTAACGTTAATCTTGTGTTCTGTTTCCACAAGATGCGCCAGAATAGCGCTGCGAATAGATTTTGTTTGGCCTTTGCTTAACCAGGCAGGGTGATGTTCGGAAATTCGACGCGAAACACGCCTAATTGTACGGCCTATGCAACTAACTGGCTCCACAGGAGCAGTTTAATTGGTAGTTACATTTTCCTTGCGAAACTAGAAAATGGGCCTTTGAAGGATGTTATTAATGAACTCGAATCTTATTGTCGGTACATGGATGATACTTTTTTGATTGTGAAGAACAAGAAGGAAGCAAAGAAAATCCTGGATAAATTTAATGAGGTACATCCTGCAATAAATTTTACTATTGAGAAAGAAAAAGACTCTAGTATTTCATTTCTAGACGTCCTTATGACCAGAAAAGAGGATGGCACAATAAGAAGAAATGTTTATAGAAAAACCAACATCAACGGGCCAGTACACACATTTTCTTAGCTTCATGCCCTTAAAATACAAACGCAATCTGATAATGTGCTTGGTCCACAGAGCAAGAGCAATTTTCTCGGATGAATGTCTTGATGAGGAACTTAACAATATTTAACGGTTGCTGAGTGAAAATGGTTATTCTGAAAAGTTTATTGATAAGAATCTGAATCTGAAACCAAAGCAGCCCAAGTTACCAAAAATTCCTAAAAGGGCCCTATTCTTACAAATTCAGTTCCCAGGAGACAACACCAGTGAGATACTACTAACAGAGCGCCTTAGAAATGCGGTAAAAAGAGCATTCCCTGCGGCTGAATTACGCTGCATCTTTAAAACCACTCCTCTTCTGCGTTCGGGAATAAAAGACAAACTGCCTAATTTCGCCTCTTCCATGTGTATATACCCATTTTAACTGCTCCTGTGGAGCCAGTTAAGTAGGCCGTACAATTCCGTTGGAACGCACTGTCTGTATCATACCATCACAGTAGTAGTGTAACAACAGAAGACAAGGGCCAGGCAACAGATCCTTTTTTAGGGAAATCAAAGCATACTTATATATTTTCATGTACATTATTATAGATTAGTTAAGCAAATAAATACAGTCTTCTGATTGGTTGTTTCTCACTTAGAGTTAATCTTTCATCTCTTTGTGACTGTTTCTTGGATGTCAGATCATCTATTTGTTAACCGTATCCGCCTACGCAAACTTTGTTCATATTTACTCACGACAAATCTTGAGAACGTAAACATTGACGTCAATTACTGTCTAACAATTCGGCTAGAAGACAGCTCTCACCACGGTAGCAGTATTAGTATTAGTATTAGTAGTAGTAGTGTTAGTAGTAGTAGTAGTAGTAGTAGCATACAGCTTCATGCATCGACCAGTTTTTTCCACTGTTATGCCAAATTATCCTTAATAATTAATTCACTCTGTTATTTCTCCTTTTTCTGTATCCCACTGAAACAACTAAGGTACTATGTTTCCCATTCCATTTATGCTACGGGATAAAACGTCGTACAAGTAATGTAGCATTTAAATTTAAGAAAAATGACTTTCTTTTACGCCTGTCAACTGTTAAACGTGAAACTATGAATATCTTTCGTCAAGAATTAATCTATCATGAATTATTTGAAATGAAACAAACGACGATGTTACAAGATATTCTAACCGATTTGACAATTGATCGAATAATTGAAGCAAACCAGACAGAACAAATAGAAAAGTCTTTAAGTCAATGGACAGCTGGTTCAACAACAACAGTAACAGATTTGAATGATCCGGATGAACGTTGTGAAAATTCCATCATTACTAAACGCGTTCAACGGAACTGTGATGTAATGAAACCATATTTTCGTATACCAAGACGTTATAATCCAGCCTACTTTTTATTTCATACGAAATTTTGGCGCCAATTCAGTAGACCACGTTCAAGATTCAATGCACCATTTTATCCGTTGCAAATTAAGCGGGAAGATTTAAGATTTAATTTTAATGTTTAATTTCCCCCTTTGTCTCTTCTTGAACGCCCATTTTAGATTTGAACATTTAAATTTTCTGAATATTTGTTCATATGAATTGTTGTTAGTTAGTTTGTTTTTAATCATGTAAATAAAAACTGTTCTGTTGTGGAAATAAACTTCTTTTTATAAGGTGAAGGTATAACTGAAATGTTAAACAGAAGGCGGTTGCTTTAACCGGCGACTGATGATAGTGAAGTCCCAGGGGTGCGAATATTCCAATGACCTTGAACGCATGCTAGTCGTTGGCTGACGACACCTATCATAACTGTAACACTAATATGAACGTTATTCACCAATTAAGGATCTATTTTTACCTAGATCACGTTTTTAAGTGCTGTTTAGACAATGAGTTAAGATAGGTATTAGGATTGGGGTTAGGATCAGGGTTATAATTAGAGTTCTTTTTTATTTCTGTATGTTCCAAGTGGAACATAGGGCTGCTTCAAGCTAGAGGCTTGAAGTTTCGGTAGCAGTGGTGTTTATTTTTATGGGATGGGGTTGCTAGCCTCATGTTCATGTCCAACCTTGCCTCTATACCGGTCTGATTATGGGCTTAGCTAGGTAAACGAGTGCCTCGTCGGCCGGGGATCGAACCTCAGACCACATGTGTGGCTGGCGAGCATTTTACCGATATGCCACCGAAGTACATAATTATAGTCACGATAAGGGTTTTAATTATGGATAGGTTCGGAGTTGGTATTTTATATTTTGTTTTATTATCCACATTTTCCCAGTAAGCAGTCATCGATCCTATTGCGCTGGAAACCATAGTAATTCAACCGATGGCTTTTGGGGAAGACTGCAGAACAGGATAAGAGCAATAAACGGGTCAGAAAAAATAAGAGGCATCGAAACTGGTCTAACTTAAAAATTCATACTCTTCACCAGAACTGATGAGGTATTTTTAAGTGATATCATAGAAAGATAGCCTGTTTAACGTGTTTTCATGCATTTTCTTGTAAATAAACGTCATTTTTTGTGCAAAAATCATTTGTTTTTATAATTGGTCGACTCAAGGTCCCTTTTGCATTCGCATTCCTTGGGATGCTATTGTTTAACTTTACCCTGATGATATCTCAATCTTGTTTAGACAACAATGGCTCGTTTACATATAGGTGACTGGCATCATTTTCCATATATTGTAGGTACCTTTCCTAAAACTGGCATAGAATCATATTCACATCAAGTAAAATATTGGGTAGCTTCATTCTGGTGAGATTAAGAGATGCTCAGGATACCAAACTCCTCCCTGAATAAGATAGATTCAAGGAAATTAAATCGCAACGCTACGCACCATCATTGAATAAAGCTGGAAATTGCAAAGAAATCTCAACTTCAAGTTCATAGACTTTGAAAATATCCTTCGACAAAGTTGACCATGAATTAGCAGTGTTTCAGAAGACTAAGCTTAATAAGCAGAATCCTATGCACCACCAGAGTGCACCGACGTGGAACGGCAGAAAACGGTTGGTCGATATGATTGTTCATTCTTCAACCGACAAATTAACAGATTTACAACGGCTAATCAGTACCAAAGTCTGTAAATAAACGTCAGGATTCTGATATCGCCGTTTGGGACGTTGTCCATTACTGTTTGTAGCTGACTGTAGAAATCCTTCTTCTTCTCTTGTTCTGAGACGTTTGTAGGCGCATAGCATTGAATGATTGTAACCTTCCTTCCTTTTGAGTTGAACCTAGCTGTCATTATCCTGGAAGAGATTGGTTCCCACTGCATGAGAGCTTTGACTACTGTTGGTGACATCATGATGGTTACTCCCTCAGTGTGCTCATGATTATCCTCTAGGTGACCGGAGGAGATTATTGCCTCTCCAGTTGGTAGTTGGCTCCTTCCACATCCGTTCCATCTGCTCTTGCAGATTTCCAACACTTCTTTTCCATACCTTCTCATTTCTGCGGCTACCTGAGCAGCCTTTCCAGTTTCGTACATTGTACGAATATTCCACGTTCCCATCCTTATTTTCGCTTTCATCGAAAGAAGGCACATCGTCTGACTGGCTTCCCGAAGGCTTTCACCAGCTTGCGTCATTTCACTTGCCCGATTCCAGCGAAAAATAAGGTTATTGTTTATATTTTTAGTATTTTCAATATATTTGTGCGTGGAAGTTTCTGTAGCAATTTGGTTAGGTTTTGGGGGTGGAGTTGCTAGCACCACGCCCCAACCCTCCATTTTATCCGGGCTTGGGATCGGCTAGAAAACTAGCGAGCTAGAAATCTAGGCGAGGTTAAATAAACGTCAATATAATGCACAATAATAATTCTCATCATATATATCTAATCTTCTACCAATCAGTTTACGATTAATGGATCACAGTCTTCTTGTCACCCACCGAATAGAGACTATCTCGAATAAACAAACAGTTCAGTGTTCAACGGCACTGTCAAAATTTCAATGTACATTTCGTTACGAACAAACATTAGTTAGAGAGCATGAGTTGAGAGAGAGTTGCACTACATTTCACCAGCTGAAAAAGTCAGAATTTGCGGATAGGTGGATGGATATTGGCCTTAGTGACTGAGTGTTCAACGAGCTAGGTCTCGTAATCTGAAGGTCCTGCATTCGGTCTCTCGCGCAGCCGTACATGTGCACTACTGAGAAGTCCCGAACTAGTATAAAACAGCTGTACAGTGCTTCCTAGTTTTAAAAGATCGCTAACTAATGTTGGTTCGTGACTCAACGGATGTTCAAATAAATCTAAATCCCTACAAGAACATACAATCTAAATATTCCTTGATTTACCCTGTGGCGTGTGCTACTGACAGGATTTATCAGTAGTATATTAAGAGACACATGAATACCAGGTACAACAAAGAAAAACTGACAACAGTTAAAAAGAAACAACTGTTCATGAAACTGCAATTTAAGGGGGACGTGGCTAGCGAAGTCTTACATCTGACATTATCGAGAGCGATAAAATGGACTTATACTGCCGCCACCGTTTGTTTGTCATTTTCCAGCCGACCGATTTTGATTGCTCAAGCGAAAGACAAGCTACCTAGCTGTGCCACTTCGATGTGTATCTATAAATTTAGTTGCTCCTGTGGAGAGAGCTATATAGGGCGAACAAATAGACAGCTTAACAAACGCATTAATGACCATCTTCCTTCATGGTTCGGAAAAGGTCAAATAAAATCCATATGAAGTTCTATTTTGGCTCATTTGATTGATGATAGCGGTCACCAAGTGGACAAAAATAGTGCCTTCAAAGTTATCTATCGTATTCCATCGAGTCTTTCGAATGGAATCAGAACCCGGAAGCTATGGGAATTCGAGAGAACAATCCTAGTCTTTGCATACAAAAGAAGTTTGTTCTACGTTTGTCTCTCCCATGCTTGGCCTAGGTGGATTCTAATCAAAACACTCCCATCCTTTCTTATTTTCCATTTCCTTCGTATTTTTATGTTATTTGTTTCAAGTCTGATTATCTGTCCGCTTCACCCTTAGTATTACGAAACTTTTAAGATTTGACCTAATTTATTTATTGAATTGTGTGCATATACAGATACATATTACTACCTTTGTTATACTTATCGCCACCTGCATAAACCTTATTATCAATATTTTGTTATCACTATAATCATCGTTATTAGCTTATTTGAAAACATTTACCACATTATTATTAGTACTATTATTATTATTTGATCCACAAAATCACCTTCATTGGCTAAAATTTTCTACATTTATAAATCTATGTAAATTAGAGTAAAGCCTGAAGAAGATCCAATTGAAATCAACAATATTGTTCGCTTATATGTCTTGTTCTAGTATATTTAAAAAAAACATACTTCGGCACAAAAATCTCAAATAGCGGAGAAATAGATTTGACGTCAAAGATAAAAGAAATAAACCAGTGTTGCAGCAGAAGAAGACAAAGAAACACAATACGGAGGAAGGGCAGAGATGGCACAACACAGAAGATCTGTTCAAATGACGATTATCTTAAAAGGTGTTCATAATTTCCCTACAGGTGTCTGTGAGGTTCCCAATAATCACTCCATTACCCAGTTTCTTGTCTTCTACCGTTACAACCCTTCTTCTCATACTCATCTTTGCTTGTTTTATTAACATTCTAAATACGTTTATTTCCCCCTTATACACTCTTTGGGGTTATAGTGGTTTCGGGATCTGAATTACATTATCCAAGCTCCTGCTAGTTTCATTGATAGTAAATTTTGTAGACGACTATATAGTTTAAAACAAGCTATGAAATGATATCGTGTCGCAGTACATTCGTCTTTTTAATGTCTTAGTTAAATTTTTCAAGGGGACTAAATGTTTATGCGACGTCCACATGTGAAAGCACTGACGTCCTTAAAAATGATTGCATAATATTCTTGCATAAATACAGCCAAATAACTCTATAGTCGAAAACATTTATTTCCCGATACGAATTTAAAACAAGCAATAAAGGTTAATAAAGCAGGATTTAATGATGGATTCATCAAATTTCGGTAGAACTCATCAGCTGAATACTCTACATACACGGATATATATACTTTTGAAATTACACTGGGAGATATAAGACTGGCAAGTAAACAAACTACATTGAATTAGTCATGCAGAAAGACAGGTGCGAATGTTTTCCAGGTCATGTTCAAATAGATAAGGGGAGAGAGAATATGAGAGATCAGAATTAAGATAAATTCCATTACGTTTCAATTACACACCACTTAGATAAACAATTAGACATTAGAGAATATAACAAGAATTGCAAACAGAGTAATATCAATACTGATAGTTATGATGATAATAATAATAATGCTGCTGAAAAAAAGATAGTTATAAATGAATGTGGACTATGGACGTGATATTGACACTGTCAAGTCATTCACTGTTGTCAGCAGACAAAAAAGCAGGAGGATGCTTGCAATTGCCGAGGAGGCTTGTGCAATTCGAGTTTATAAACTAGGTCTCTGTGTACAAAAGGAGATGGTTGTGACTCTGAACCTACCATGGTAAT